GACCAAAGTTGGCCCAAGTCTCTCAATGTGCATTTGCAGCATGGGTCCTCTAAGCACCATGCTCCCAAGCTGCCTTCAAGTTGCCCTGTTCCTGCCTGGAGTGGTCCCAGCCCTTGCACTGACCTTTGCCCTTGCCATGGCCTTTGCCCTCAGGTCCCGGAGATCCTGGAGATGGTGCACGCCAAGCTGCAGGAGGTGGACGAGGAGCCCGTCCGGAGGGCGGCCCAGCAGACGGTCTGCATCCTGGCCACGCAGCACAAGGCCGCCGTGGTGGGCACACTCCTCGGACGCCCGCTGCCCCTCGACAGGTACCCGGAGGACCCTCCCCCTGCGGACTCCGGCCCCTCGGAGCTGGGAGGGGGGTCTCCCTGACTGGCTGGCTGAGGAGGACTCTTGATGATGGGATATTCCTTCTTTCGCCCTAGCAGTCTCTTTCTCCAGTGTCTTCCTTCTTTTCTCCAGTATCCTTTCTTCCTTCCTTCCGTTCCTTTTTTTCCTCCTTGCTTTCTTTCTAGCCTTCCTTCCCTCCCTTTCAGCAGCATATTTCTCATCTATCTATCTATCTATCTATCTATCTATCTATCTATCATCTTCCTTTCTTTCTGTCCTTCCTTCCTTCCCTCGTTGCTTGCTTGCTTTTCTCCTAGCAGCCGATTTCTTGAGTATCTCTCTCTCCTTCCTCCCTCCTTCCCTCCCTCCCTCCTTCCCTCCCTCCCTCCCTTTCCCTTTCCTCCAGTTGCTTGTTTGCTTTCTTTCTTTCTTTCTTTCTTTCTTTCTTTCTTTCTTTCTTTCTTTCTTTCTTTCTGTCCCTCCTTCCTCCTTCCTTTCCTTTACTCCCAGAAGCCTATTTATCTCTCTCTCTCTTCCTTTCTTTCTGTCCTTTCTTCCTTCGTTGCTTGCTCCATCCATCCTTCTATCTATTCATCCATCCATCCATCTATCCATCTATCCTTTTTCTATCCATCCTTCTATCCATCCATCCATCCATCCATCCATCCATCCATCCATCCTTCTATCCATCCATCCATCCATCCATCCATCCATCCATCCTTCTATCTATCCATCCATCCATCCATCCATCCATCCATCCATCCATCCATCTATCTATCCGTCTATCCATCTATCCGTCTGTCCCATCTATCCATCTGTCCATTCATCTATCCATCCATTCATCTATCCATCCATACTTCTATCCATCCATCCATCCATCCTTCTATCTATCCATCTGTCCATCCATCCATCCATCCATCCTTCCTTCTATCTATCCATCTATCCGTCTGTCTATCTATCTGTCTGTCTGTCTGTCCGTCCGTCCGTCCGTCTATCCATCTGTCCATCCATCCATCCTTCTATCCATCCGTCCGTTCATCTATCCATCCATCCACCCATCCATCCTCCTTCTATCCATCCCTCCATCCATCCATCCATCCATCCATCCATCCTTCTATCCCTCCATCCCTTCTATCCATCCATCCATCCATCCATCATCCTTCTATCCATCCATCCATCCATCCTTCTATCCATCCATCATCCATCCTTCTATCCATCCCATCCATCCATCCATCCATCTATCCACCCATACATCCATCCATACATCCATCCTTCTATCCATCCATCCATCCTTCTATCCATCCATCCATCCATCCATCCATCCATTCATCCTATCCATCCATCCATCCATCCATCCATCCATCCATCCATTATCCATCCATCCATCCACCCATCCTATCCACCCATCTATCCATCCATCCATCTACATCCATCCACCACCCATCTATCCACCCACCCACCCATCCATCCATCTATCCACACACATACATCCAGAAACCTCATCCATCCATCCATCCACCCATCCATCCATCCATCCCTCCATCCACCCACCACCCCTCCTCCTCCCTCCCACCCTCCCTCCCTCCCTCCCTCCCTCCCTCCCTCCCTCCCTCCCTCCCTCCCTCCCTCCCTTCCTTCCTTCCTTCCTTCCTTCTTTGGAGTCTGGTGGGGCCAATGAGAGGGGGTGCTGGGGGTCATCCCTCTTGGGCATGTGTCAGTGTCTTTGTGTGTGAGCCTTCCTTGTGTCCTCTCCTTCTGTCGTGAATAGGCCAACCAGTCCACAGATGGGGACCCTCTCAACCTCTCCCTCGGGCTCTTTGTGGGGGTGCCCCAATGCCAATGATGTGCCCCCTCCCTCCCCCCTACCTTTTTACAGCTTCACGGGCACCATGTGGCAGGCGCTGGCCTCGGACCCCCCGCTGACCTCTCAGGTGCTGGAGCTGCTGCTGGAGAAGATCCACCGGGACGTCCCGTACAAGGAGAACAAGTCCTTCCTGCGCGGAAGCACCCCCGAGCGCGTGGCCACCCCCTTCCCGCTGGCCGTGAGTCAGGAACCTTTCCTCCTCCCCCCCCCAGCAATTCCCTGCCTTGTTTTCCCCATGGACCTCCTTTTGAACCCCATTTATGGCCACAGACCCCCAGGACAAATGGAGGGCTTGGATGGTGTCCTTGCTGGCCGAACTCTGAGGGAAACGAGCCCGTTTCTTGGAATGCCGAGGCTTCCCATCTGTTGCCTCTGTGAAGGCTCCCAGATCTTGCCAAGGGAAGCCAAGCCTTGGATGTCGGCCGGACGCTGGTCAGTCCGGCCGCATTCCTTTGCATGAACTCAACATTTTATTGAATTTCCCAAAATAAAAGCTCCCAACAACTGGAATCCAAGCTTGAGGGACCCATTCTTGGAGAGCAATGATGGCAGAAGTAATATGTCAGCTAGGAACAGCTTTGGAAAGAGGACCTACAAAAAAGACCCTTCTCTGGAGGTTTCCAAGCAGAGGCGGGATGGCCATCTGTCAGGAGGGTTTGGATGGGGTCTTCCTTTGAGACAGAAGGGGGTTGGATTGGATGGCCTTTGGGATACTCTTCCGACTACGGCTGTGTGACAGGCTGGATGGACATCTGTTAGGAGGGTTTGGATGGGGTCTTCCTTCGAGGCAGAAGGGGGTTGGATTGGATGGCCTTTGGGATACCCTTTCCGACTATCTAGGATTGTGTGGTAGGCTGGATGGACATCTGTCAGGAGGGTTTGCATGGGGGTCTTCCTTCGAGGCAGAAGGGGGTTGGATTGGATGGCCTTTGGGATACCCTTCTGACTATCTAGGGTTGTGCGACAGGCTGGATGGACATCTGTCAGGAGGGTTTGGATGGAGGTCTTCCTTCGAGACAGAAGGGGGTTGGATTGGATGGCCTTTGGGATACCCTTCCGACTATCTAGGATTGTGTGATAGGCTGGATGGACATCTGTTAGGAGGGTTTGGATGGGGTCTTCCTTTGAGGCAGAAGGGGGTTGGACTAGATGGCCTTTAGGATACCCTTCCAACTATGAATTTATGACAGGCTGGATGGTGTTGCTGGATGTCTATCTGTCGGGAGGGCTTTGTGGCCATCTGTCGGGAGGGCTTCAATGGGGTCTTTTTATGAGGCAGAAGGGCGTTGGACTAGATGGCCTTTAGGGGACCCTTCTGACTCCATGATTCTATGACAGGCTGGATGTCTATCTGTCGGGACGGCTTGGATTGTGTCCATCATAGCAGAAGGGGGGGTGCACTGGATGTCCTTTGGGGGACCCTTCTGACCATCTAGGGTTCTATGTCAGGCTTGATGTCTATCTGTTAGGAGGGCTTGAATGGTGTCCTCCATCGTGGCAGAAGTGGGTTGGACTGGATGTCCTTTGGGTGACCCTTCTAACTGTATGATTCTATGACAGGCTGGATGTCTATCTGTCGGGAGGGCTTGAATTGTGTCTTCCTTTGAGGCAGAAGGGAGTTGGACTGGATGGCCTTTGGGGGAACCATCCAACTCTATGATTCTATTACAAGTTGGATGTCCATCTGTCAGGAGAGGTTGGATGGACATTGTGGAAGAAGGGGGTTGGATTGGATGTCCTTTGGAGGACACTTCCAACTCTTTGATTCTATGACAGGATGGATGTCTGTCTGTTAGGAGACCTTGGATGCGGTCTTCCTTCAAGGCAGAAGGGAGCTGGACTGAATGACCTTTGGAGGACATTCCAACTCTTTGATTCTATGACAGGCTGGATGGCCATCTGTTGGGAGGGCTTGGATGGTGGCAGAAGGGGGTTGGACTGGATGGCCTTTGGAGGACACTTCCAACTCTGATTCTATGACAGGCTGGATGGCCATCTGTCAGGAGGGCTTGGATGGTGGCAGAAGGGTTTGGATTGGATGTCCTTTGGAGGACACTTCCAACCCTTTGATTCTATGACAGGCTGGATGGCCATCTGTCAGGAGGGCTTGGATGGTGGTAGAAGGGGGTTGGACTGAGTGGCCTTTGGGGGAACCATCCAACTCTATGATTCTATTACAAGTTGGATGTCCATCTGTTAGGAGAGGTTGGATGGACATTGTAGCAGAAGGGGGTTGGACTGGATGTCCTTTGGAGGACACTTCCAACTCTTTGATTCTATGACAGGATGGATGGCCATCTGTTGGGAGGGCTTGAATTGTGGCAGAAGGGGGTTGGACTGGATGTCCTTTGGAGGACATTCCAACTCTTTGATTGTATGACAGAATGGATGGCCATCTGTCAGGAGGGCTTGGATGGTGGTAGAAGGGGGTTGGACTGGATGTCCTTTGGAGGACACTTCCAACTCTGATTCTATGACAGGATGGATGGCCATCTATCAGGAGAGCTTGAATGGCCTCCTTTATCATGGCAGAAGAGGGTTGGACTAGATGTCCATTGGGTGACCCTTCTATGATTCTATGACAGGCTGGATGTCTTTCTCTCGGGAGGGCTTGGATGGTGGCAGAAGGGGGTTGGACTGGATGTCCTTTGGAGGACACTTCCAACTCTTTGATTCTATGACAGGCTGGATGACCATCTGTCGGGAGGGCTTGGATGGTGGTAGAAGGGGGTTGGATTGGATGTCCTTTGGGGTTCCCCTCCAATGTCTAGACTGCTATAGGAGGAGGGTATGTGTGGGCTGACCCCTTCTGACCCTGTTCCCCCTGACCTCCCCTCTCTTTGCCCCCTTTGCAGGCCACCTGCGCTCTGCACGAGATCCTCTCCGTCCGAGAGTCCGGCCCGGCCGTGCTGGGCCTCTACGCGGAGCTCTTCGTGTCCCTCCTGCTCCGGGTCAGCTGCACGGTGGGCGTCCACCCGCCACGGAACCTGCCGCACAAGGACCGCAAGAGCCTCGGAGGCAAAGGCGGAGGGCAGGCCCCTCGCGCGCTGGACCCCTGCAGGTAGGCATGGCGGGAAGGGGCCCCCAGAGGTCATCCAGCCCAGCCCCTTTCGACCTAAGCAAAGCCCTCCCAACAAATGGTCATCTGAGCAACTGGTGTTGTGCCTCTGCTTGTAGTCTGTCTGCTCCAGCTGGAGGAGCCCTGTTTCCAGGCGGAAGGTGGTCCCGGTCAAGGTTGGCTTGACATGCCTTCCTCTTGGCACGTTTCTCCCTTTCGCCCTGCATTCGTGCCTCTTTGAATTATGCAGCACTGCTGGTCACAGCTGATCTCCAGCAGGAGCAAATGGTCATCTACCATATCCTGTGGCAGCAATGTGTCTTGGACTCTGGTTGCGGGAGCCCCGTATTTGTGCAGTTGCACAACAGAGGCTCTTCCTCCTCCGGCCATATGGAACTCATTTCGTGCATGTGTGTTTCCCCCCCTCTCTCTCTGCTCACGGATGCAATCACAAGTGCGCTTTCTGTGCGGCGCGATGGCGGGCGAACGCTCCACGGCCCATAACGCCGGCCTCCTTGTGGGGCAGGGATTAAGCCCTTCTTTTCCGCGGGCCCCTCTCCTCCCCTCCGCCAGGAAATATTAAATCGCGCTTCCTGCCGCAGACAAGAGGGGTTTTGCGGCCTGCCTCCGCATTCCTCCGGGTCGGGTTTCGGGGCTCGTTCCAGAGCACCGGAACGGCACACAACACAAAATGGTGCTTAGGAAGCATCTTCTCTGCACAAAAAGGGCTTGCATTTGTGCCCAAGACAGTCCCCGTTCCTCCCACACAAAGGAGAGGCCTGAACTGGCAGAACGGGGCTGGACTAGATGCCCTCTGGGGGACCCCATTTTGGAGAGGGTCCACCTTCAGCGCTTTGCACCCAGAGGATTCATCCACATATTTTTGGGGCTATTTTTAATTGGGTAGACATTGTTTGGGTTCTCTCCCTAAACAAAGAAACAAAGCATTAATAATAATAATAATAATAATAATAATAATAATAATAATTATTATTATTATTATTATTATTATTATTTGAAACACAACAAGATGAGTCCACAGCAGACACTCTGCTGTCTGCCTGTTTATCTTGTAGAAGAGAAGGTTGAGAGGAGACATGAGAGGAGCCGTGTATTGACATGTGAATGGGTGTCCTAAGGAAGAGGGAGCAGGCTTGTTTTGCACTACCCTGGAAACTAGGGTTCAAATGACAGGAAAGGACATTCCAGCTGAACTTTAGGAAGAACTTCCTGACTGTTCAACAGTGGAACTCCCTGCCCTAGTGTCTCGTGGAAGCTCCTTCCTTGGAGGCTTTGAAAAAGAGGCTGGATGGTCACCTGTTGGAGAGGCTTTGATTGTGCTTTTCCTGCATGGGAAGAACTTCATGACTGTTCAACAGTGGAACTCCCTGCCCTAGAGTATTGTGGAAGATCCTCTTTGAAACATGGGCTGGATGGCCACCTGTTAGAGGGGCTTTGATTGTGCTCTTCCTGCATGGGAAGGACTTCGTAACTGTTCAACAGTGGAACTCTCTGCCTCAGAGTCTGGTGGAAGCCCCTTCCTGGAGGCTTTGAAAAAGAGGCTGGATGGTCACCTGTTGGAGAGGCTTTGATTGTGCTTTTCCTGCATGGGAAGAACTTCATGACTGTTCAACAGTGGAACTCCCTGCCCTAGAGTATTGTGGAAGATCCTCTTTGAAACATGGGCTGGATGGCCACCTGTTAGAGGGGCTTTGATTGTGCTCTTCCTGCATGGGAAGGACTTCGTAACTGTTCAACAGTGGAACTCTCTGCCTCAGAGTCTGGTGGAAGCCCCTTCCTTGGAGGCTTTGAAACAGAGGCTGGATGACCATCTGTTGGAGGGGCTTTGATTGTGCTCTTCCTGCATGGGAAGGACTTCGTAACTGTTCAACAGTGGAACTCTCTGCCTCAGAGTCTGGTGGAAGCCCCTTCCTTGGAGGCTTTGAAACAGAGGCTGGATGACCATCTGTTAGAGGGGCTTTGATTGTGCTCTTCCTGCATGGGAAGGACTTCGTAACTGTTCAACAGTGGAACTCTCTGCCTCAGAGTCTGGTGGAAGCCCCTTCCTTGGAGGCTTTGAAACAGAGGCTGGATGACCATCTGTTGGAGGGGCTTTGATTGTGCTCTTCCTGCATGGGAAGGACTTCGTAACTGTTCAACAGTGGAACTCTCTGCCTCAGAGTCTGGTGGAAGCCCCTTCCTTGGAGGCTTTGAAACAGAGGCTGGATGACCATCTGTTAGAGGGGCTTTGATTGTGCTCTTCCTGCATGGGAAGGACTTCGTAACTGTTCAACAGTGGAACTCTCTGCCTCAGAGTCTGGTGGAAGCCCCTTCCTTGGAGGCTTTGAAACAGAGGCTGGATGACCATCTGTTGGAGGGGCTTTGATTGTGCTCTTCCTGCATGGGAAGGACTTCGTAACTGTTCAACAGTGGAACTCTCTGCCTCAGAGTCTGGTGGAAGCCCCTTCCTTGGAGGCTTTGAAACAGAGGCTGGATGACCATCTGTTGGAGGGGCTTTGATTGTGCTCTTCCTGCATGGGAAGGACTTCGTAACTGTTCAACAGTGGAACTCTCTGCCTCAGAGTCTGGTGGAAGCCCCTTCCTTGGAGGCTTTGAAACAGAGGCTGGATGACCATCTGTTAGAGGGGCTTTGATTGTGCTCTTCCTGCATGGGAAGGACTTCGTAACTGTTCAACAGTGGAACTCTCTGCCTCAGAGTCTGGTGGAAGCCCCTTCCTTGGAGGCTTTGAAACAGAGGCTGGATGACCATCTGTTGGAGGGGCTTTGATTGTGCTCTTCCTGCATGGGAAGGACTTCGTAACTGTTCAACAGTGGAACTCTCTGCCTCAGAGTCTGGTGGAAGCCCCTTCCTTGGAGGCTTTGAAACAGAGGCTGGATGACCATCTGTTGGAGGGGCTTTGATTGTGCTCTTCCTGCATGGGAAGGACTTCGTAACTGTTCAACAGTGGAACTCTCTGCCTCAGAGTCTGGTGGAAGCCCCTTCCTTGGAGGCTTTGAAACAGAGGCTGGATGACCATCTGTTGGAGGGGCTTTGATTGTGCTCTTCCTGCATGGGAAGGACTTCGTAACTGTTCAACAGTGGAACTCTCTGCCTCAGAGTCTGGTGGAAGCCCCTTCCTTGGAGGCTTTGAAACAGAGGCTGGATGACCATCTGTTGGAGGGGCTTTGATTGTGCTCTTCCTGCATGGGAAGGACTTCGTAACTGTTCAACAGTGGAACTGTTCAACAGTGGAAGCCCCTTCCTTGGAGGCTTTGAAACAGAGGCTGGATGACCATCTGTTGGAGGGGCTTTGATTGTGCTCTTCCTGCGTGGTAGAATGGGCTTGGCCTGGGTGGCCCACACGGCCTCTTCCAACTCTGCGCTTCTCTGGTTCCGCTCTGCATTGATCTCTCCTCTGGTTGTAGCTCTGCGGTGGAGACCCTGAAAGCCATGCTGATCCAAGGAGGCAGCCAAGAGGTGGTCCGGGCCGTGGCCGAAGAGGGTGGCTGGGAGTGGCTCTGGAGCACCGAGAAGCACCACGACGGGGTGGCCCTTCTGGCCAGGTGAGTTGGGGTGAGGGGGTCAAATCAATCATTTGGCCAGACCTTGGATTGATGTCCAGGCTGCCCCTGAGATATAAAGCTTATCCAAAATAGTTGATCACAGCACCCCCTTTATCAGGCATGCACGTACACAAACATGAATTCCTTGCGCCAAATCAAAAATGCCACATCAACTGGTTGATGCAATAATAATAATAATAATAAGTAATAATAATAATAATAATAATAATTTTTAATTGCGAAAGCTTGTGCTAAAGCATCCCACGTTGGTTGCATTACAACAAAGATACGAGGGTTGAATGAAAAGTAATGCCTCCACCTTCGTAACTCCTCAACAGATGGCAGTACTGGTATGCGGCAGGTACTGGCTTGTTCAGTAGACTCTCCTCTACAGTTCCATTTTGGTGGGAAGCCTTAGCATTGAACGGTTGTGTTGTTAAAGTGTGAAGTATGGAACCCTGCGCAGACGGTTGGTCAATGCAACTTAAGCAACGTATGCGGCAGGTACTGGCTTGTTCAGTACACTCTCCTCTACAGTTCCATTTTGGTGGGAAGCCTTAGCATTGAACGGTTGTGTTGTTAAAGTGTGAAGTATGGAACCCTGCGCAGACGGTTGGTCAATGCAACTTAAGCAACGTATGCGGCAGGTACTGGCTTGTTCAGTACACTCTCCTCTACAGTTCCATTTTGGTGGGAAGCCTTAGCATTGAACGGTTGTGTTGTTAAAGTGTGAAGTATGGAACCCTGTGCAGACGGTCGGTCAATGCAACGTATGCGGCAGGTACTGGCTTGTTCAGTAGACTCTCCTCTACAGTTCCATTTTGATGGGAAGCCTTAGCATTGAACGGTTGTGTTGTTAAAGTGCAAAGTATGGAACCCTGCGCAGACAGTCGGTCAATGCGACTTAAGCAACGTATGCAGCAGGTACTGGCTTGTTCAGTAGACTCTCCTCTACAGTTCCATTTTGGCGGGAAGCCTTAGCATTGAACGGTTGTGTTGTTGAAGTGCAAAGTATGGAACCCTGCGCAGAGGGTCAGTCAATGCGACTTAAGCAACATATGCGGCAGGTGCTGGCTTGTTCAGTAGACTCTCCTCCCCTACAGTTCCATTTTGGCAGGAAGCCTTAGCATTGAATGGTTGTGTTATTAAAATGCGAAGTATCATTTCTGCGTTTGATTTATCAAAATATTCCCATTCAAACCCAAGTAACGAAGGTGGAGGCATTACTTTTCATTAAAACTTTGTATAATCATCATCATCATCATCATCATCAAGAACAACAACATAATCATCAACAACAACAAGGCTCCTGAGGTCTGGCCAAGCCTTTAGGTGGAGGTGCTAGCACTTCTGGGGCCCCCAATGGCAACCTTTGATGTGGCCCCTTGCTTGGTGTGGGATTCAGGATGGGGTCATTTGTAACTGGAAGCTGGATATTGCAGAATTGCAGACCAGCCCATGCCTTACAATCACGTTGTGCACTCTGCAAGATCAGTTCTTATTTATTACTAGCCGTCCCCTGCCACTCGTTGCTGTGGCCCACATGGGGGTTCTGTGTGGGACGTTTGGCCCAATTCTATCCTTGGTGGGGTTCAGAATGCTCTGTGATTGTAGGTGAACTACAAATCCCAATCACAACTCCCAAATGTCAAGATTCTATTTCCCCTAAACTCCACCAGTGTTGACATTTGGGCATATTGAGTATTCTTGTAGAGTTTGGTCCATCATTGATTGAGTCCACAGTGCTCTCTGGATGTAGGTGAACTACAACTCCAAAACCAAAGGACACTGCCCACCAAACCCTTCCAGTATTTTCCGTTGGTCATGGGAGAACTATGTGCCAAGTTTGGTTCATTTCCATCGTTGGTGGGGTTCAGAATGCTCTTTGATTGTAGGTGAACCAGAAATCCCAACCACTACAACTCCCAAATGTCAAGATTCTATTTCCCCTAAACTCCACCAGTGTTGATATTTGGGCATATTGAGTATTTGTGTAGAGTTTGGTCCAGATCCATCATTGTGTGAGTCCACAGTGATCTCTGGATGTAGGTGAACTGCAAGTCCAAAACCAAAGGACACTGCCCACCAAACCCTTCCAGTATTTTCTGTTGGTCCAAGTCTGCTTCAATTCCATTGTTGGTGGGGTTCAGAATGCTCTTTGATTGTAGGTGAACTATACATCCCAGCAACTACAACTCCCAAATGACAAAATCAATGTTTTTTTGAGTGAAGGACAGACATTGGGTGAAGGACAGACATCCTAAGGGTTCCTATCGCTGCCTCATTGCACAATCCCAAAGGCTCATTCCCACAGCCACGTTTTTACCATCCTTCTAAAGGACAAGAGGGAAGGGGCTGAACTGATCTCATTAGGAAGGGAGTTCCATAGCTGAGGGGCCACCACTGAGAAGGCCCCGTCTCTCATCCCCACCAAACACGCCTATGAGAGCAGGGACTCCCCAGAAGATCTTAATCTCCGCAGTAGTTCATAGGGGGAGATGCGTTCGGACAGGTAAATTGGGGAAAATTAGGCTGCAAACATGTGGTACCATCATACATGCTTGTGTAGCAGTCTGGTCAGCTCTGCCATAGAGTGATAGGATGCACATTCAGTCTTGCAATCCATGAACAAGATGGCGTCATGAGCTATGTGTCTCTGTCTCATTGAGGTAGAGCTTCATACTCTGCTTTCCACTTAGTCACCAGACAATTGGATATGTTTCTGCCAACGATGAACATGTTTTCTTAATATCTCTCTTTGCCCCCAATATGACAGCGCCATAGCAAAGCATGCGGGGCCCAAGCTGCCCTTGATCGTGAAGCACCTCTCCCCGATGCTCAACAGTCTCTACGACAGCCAGCGGCTGACCACCACTGCCTTCTTCGCAGAGGTCAGTTGCAGGGTCTTGTGGGGGTGGTCATGGAGCGGTCAAGCTCAAGGACTGCTCGTAGCCCTCAGATCGTGAACTTGGCTTCGTGAGTCTCTCTTGAGCTCCTTCCTCTCCTCTCTTCCAGCTTCTGGGCAGCAACGTGGTCAATGACCTGGTCCTCTTGGAGTCCATGATGGACAGCATGACCACCCGGCAGAGGGACTCCTGCAACGCCGTCCGCATGCTAGCCCTCCGGGGCCTGGGCAACATCGCCTCGGGAGCACCGGAGAAGGTGAGCTCCGCTGGACTGGAAACAGTCCGTTCAAAAGGGGGCTTAGTGGACCACAAGCTGAACAGGAGCCAGTGGTGAGATGTGGTGGTGGAACCATTCCAGGCTTCATTAATAGGAACATCATGCCTGAAATTATGACCCTGTGTCCAGTTCTAGGCAAAGCAATTCAAGGAGAAAGAATCCTAGAATTCTTCTCTGTTTCCCCTTCCTTTCCAACCTGACCAGCTTGGCGGGCGGCCCCTCGGCTGCAATAAAAGGCCGGTGTAGTGAAATTGCTACTCTATGTTAAAGTTTTGGTGTATAGCTCTATGTTTACATATGGCAGATAGGAAAGAATAGGCACAGACAGAGATAGGGTTCATTTGCATATGTGAAACCGATTGGTCATAATGCAGATTAGTGTAGGCCCAGGATTTGAAAAGGCTGCTAGGCCAAAATGACAGTTGTGGAGAGCAGAGCTGAACTTTCCAAAGGGGCGGAGCTAAGGTTCTGAAAGAGGCAGTTAGAGAGTGAGGGAGTTTGAAAATGACAGTTAGGAATCTGTGTGTGAAGAGGAAAGTTGGTTTTTGAGTGCCTGATAGAAACAAGCAGTTATGAAGATGTGTTAAAAGACTTCTGATATAGAGAAGCAGTTAGTTAAATAGAGCTCGAGTTTTAAGGAACATAAAGAAGGCTAGTGTTGTCTTAGTTCAGAATATAATTCAGCCAAGAGTGTGTAAAGCAAGTAACATGTTTGTAAATGTGAAACATTGATAGTTTATTCAGAAAAGTTAAACAGGTACATGATACTGACTGTAAGCCTCAAGATTGCAACAAAACACAAATGTAACCACAAACGTTGGAGCCAGAAGTTATAAATAAACTGTGTTACTTCGTTATAAACAAGAGTGTTTTATTGCCTGTGATATAAAGTACAAAGGCTTAACAGCACACAGAAAGTCCCAGCCAATATAAAAGAAGAAACTGAATCAGTATACGGCAGCAAAGAGGTTTTTAATAAGGAAATAGTCTCTCTCCCTCGCCTCAGCCGGCCTTCTGTTCTCTGCAGGTGCGGAAGCACGGGGCCCAGCTCCTGGCCTCCATGATGAACGGCATGGACGACAAGGAGGACCCGCACCACTCGGTGGCCCTGGAGGCCATGTCCAGCCTCTCCAAGCTGCTGGCCCTCATGGAGGAGAGGGACGTCCGCTCCATGCTGCTCCACGTCGCCATACGCATACGGCCCTTTTTCGACAGCGTAAGCAGGGAGAGGGAAGCAGATAAGAGTCCAGATTTCATTTCAGATTTAACTTCAGCAATTCCTTCTGAAACTATAACTACTTGTGACCACCTTTTCCCCACCTTTCAAGCAAAGTCTTGATGGCCATCTGTCGGGAAGGCTCAGATGGTGTCTCCCTGCCTCCTTTCCTGGGCTGCATGAGCTTAGGAACCAAGGCTAAAGGCAACATTTGTTGGTGTTTCATATACACCTCATGCACACACTGTGAAGATCATTTTGTGTACATTTTTGTGTGTGAAACAAAATTTTGTGTACATTGAACCCCCAGAATGCGAACCGGTCACTTTGGGTTTTGGGATCATAGAATTGGAAGGGACCACTAGAAGCCATCTAGTCCAGCTTCTTTCTGCCAGGCAGGGAGACACCATCTAAGCCCTCCCCATAGATGACCATCCCACCATAGATATAATAGATATCATTGGAATACATACATGCACATGCACATATACCTCTCTCACTATCTATCTATCTATATAAATAAAAATATAATGTTCGCTTGTGGGATTAACATAACACAAAAACCACTGGACAAATTGACACCAAATTTGGACACAAGACACCCATCAGGCCAATGTGTGACCATCACTCATAAAAAGACTGAAAAACACAGCAAAGGGGACTTAAAAAGCCAAAAATCAAAAAATACATTACAATGTATGCGCAAAACTTCATATGTACACATATGCACATATATGCACATTTGCACAAATATATACACACACATATACGCATATATATATACACACAAAACATATACACAGGCTGGGTTATAGTAACGCGTGGCAAGAGACAGCTAGTATGTACACACACACACACACAAATATATATAAATAAAAATGTAATGTTCGTTTGTGGGATGAACAGAACTTAAAAACCACTGGGCGAATTGACACCAAATTTGGACACAAGACACCTAACAACCCAATGTATGTCCTTCGCTCAAAAATTATTGATTATGTCATTTGGGAGTTGTAGTTGCTGGGATTTATAGTTCACCTACAATCAAAGAGCATTCCGAACCCCACCAACAATAGAATTGAACCAAACTTGGCACACAGTTCTCCCGTGACCAACAGAAAATACTGGAAGGGTTTGGTGGGCAGTGTCCTTTCGTTTTGGAGTTGTAGTTCACCCACATCCAGAGATCACTGTGGACTCAAACAATGATGGATCTGGACCAAACTCGGCACGAAGACTCAATATGCCCAAATGTGAACAGTGGTGGAGTTTGGGGAAAATCGAATCTTGACATTTGGGAGTTGTAGTTTCTGGGATTTATAGTTCACCTTCAATCCCAGAGCATTCTGAACCCCACCAAACCTCCTACACAGAACCCCCATGTGGGCCACAGCAACGCGTGGCAGGGGACGGCTAGTGTGTGTATATATCTCTATCTATCTATCTATCTATCTATCTATCTATCTATCTATCTATACACATACACACACATGCACGCACACACACACACACACACACACACACACACTCCTATCAGGCCAATGAGTGACCAGTAATCATAAAAACACTGAAAAACACAGCGGAAGAAACTTAAAAAGCCAAAAAAGCACAAAGATGCTACAGCGCATGCGCAAAACCACATATATGCACATGTACACAAATACACACACACACATATACAGATACAAAACACATATACACAGACTGTGCCACATCAATGCATGGCAAGGGACAGCTAGTATATGTGTATGTGATATAGCATAGAATCCTAGAAGGAGGACTCTCAAAGACCATCCAGTCCAACCCCCTTCTGCCAGGCAGGAAGACATCATCCAAGCCCTCCCAACAGATAGCCATCCAGCCTCTGCTTGAAAGCCTCCAATGCCAGAGAGCCCTCCACCCTCAAAGGCAACACCTTCCTCTGTTGAACACCTCTGACCATCAGGAAGTTCTCCCTGGGCGGAATCTCTTTTCCCGCCACCTGAATCCATTGCTCCGTTGTGTCCTTGCAATGGAAGCAAGTGGCAGGAGGCTGTCACTAAGGAGGCTGTCCAAACCCTGAACCGGTGCTTGGCCGCTGTGTCGGACTGGATCAGAGCTAACAAATTGAAATTGAATCCAGACAAGACAGAGGTCCTACTGGTCAGTCGTAAGGCCGAACAGGGTATAGGGTTACAGCCTGTGTTAGACGGGGTCACACTCCCCCTGAAGATTCAGGTTCGCAGCTTGGGAGTGATCCTGGACTCATCGCTGAGCCTGGAACCCCAGGTCTCAGCGGTGGCCGGGAAAGCTTTTGCACAATTAAAACTTGTGCGCCAGCTGCGCCCGTACCTTGGGAAGTCTGATCTGGCCACGGTGGTCCACGCTCTTGTTACATCCCGGTTAGATTACTGCAACGCACTCTACGTGGAGTTGCCTTTGAAGACTGTTCGGAAACTTCAACTAGTCCGGCGGGAGGCAGCCAGATTAGTCACCGGAGCGTCATACAGGGAGCATACCACCCCTCTGCTATGTCAGCTCCACTGGCTACCGATCCAGTTCCGAGCACAATTCAAAGTGCTGGTTTTGACCTACAAAACCCTATACGGTTCCGGCCCAGTGTATCTGTCCGAACGTATCTCCCTCTACGTCCCACCTCAGAGTTTAAGATCTTCTGAGGGGGCCCTGCTCTCGGCCCCACCTCTATCACAAGTGAGACTGGCGGGGACGAGGAGCAGGGCCTTCTCGGTGGTGGCCCCTCACCTGTGGAATTTGCTCCCTGGGGAAATTAGGTCATCGACATCCCTCCTCTCTTTCAGAAGGAAATTAAAAACATGGATCTGCGACCAGGCCTTTGGGTAATCTGGCAGATAGACAAAGAACTAGTGACGACAACTGATGGACTTGACTGTGTGGAACTGAATTTATGAACTCTGAGTTGGCAAACGCTGTGCATTAGATTCGTTTTATAGATTTTGAGGACGTGATGTTTTCGATGTGTGATGTATAATGGACTGTTTTAATTGTTTTAATTACTGTTTACATATGTTTATTTTTACCTTGTTTTGTGCCGGCATCGAATTGTGCCTTTTGTAAGCTGCCCTGAGTCCCCCCTCGGGGGTTGAGAACGGCGGGATAGAAGTGCAAGAAATAAAATAAAAGGGATTCTGGGCTTCACGATGCTCGCTCTCTCTCTCTTCTTCCGGCTCCTTTCCACGTGTCTGCTTCCTCCGCAGGAGAGGCCTGAGCTGCGCCGCTCGTCGGTGGTCCTCTTTGGGAACCTGACCAAGTTCAGTGCCGGGAGCAGCGAGGACGCCTTCTTCGAGCAGATCCTCAACGGCCTGGTGACGCTTCTCCTCCACCTGCAGGACCCCAAGCCTGAGGTCATCAAGGTGGG